GTCTCGTGCTTACAGACAGAATCGATGCTTTCTGAGAAACAAGGGGCAGACTTACTGCTAAAGTCCAGTCAAAGGTCCCAAATCCTCTTCTGATAGATCTTGTCTGAGCACAGTCAGTACACCCAAAGAGGATGGATAGAAATATAGAATCATTTAGGTTGGAAATGACCTTTAAGATCATTGAGTCCAATGGTTAACCCAGCACTGCCAAGTCCACCACTAAATCGTGTCTCTAAGCACCACATCTACATGTGTGGTATAGATAAGTACATGCAGGGATCTCTAAATAACTCCAGGGATAGTGACTCAACCACTTCCCTGGGCAGCCTGTTCCACTTTAATCAAATTAAAACACAGTGTAAAATATATGAAATAATAAAAGAAGATAAAGGAGAACTATGCTAATACAAATGTGTACCATTTCTATAAAAGGGAGATATAAATAAGATGTAGAATAAAATTCAGAAATCATCACGTTCATGGCCATTAACAGGTCATGTGACTCTTTAGGTATTTAGCCAAAAATTAGTAGTAAGGGATATTTTAAGACAGAACTTCTGATGAAGAACAAAGATAGTGACATTTCTTCTAAAGCAAGGAAATTTACTTTTATAGTAACTTTCTAGAATACCCACTGAGAGAGTTCAGTTTCTTCCTTAGCATGTACAAGGTCAAATCCCATCTTCTTAGTTCCCCAGACTGCATTCTGAGCAGCAGGAGTTGTGTCACTTTGGAGCAAAGGTACTTCTTTCTTTGTTAAGATGCTCTACAAGTTTTATCCAAACATCCTTTTACATAAAACTCATGAGAGTTTGATCTAGGGGCTATAACTAAGTTCCCTCCTTTCAGGTAGATGCCTGGATCATGAAGCTGCATCACACCCTTTTATGTACAGGAAGTCCCTGTCTTCTAACCAGTCCTCCCCAGACAATCTGTGAGTGCTTCATGAAAAGGCCATGAGTGACAAAAGAGGAGAAGAGTATAGAAGTTTATTTATCAGCCCTAAATCTTCTTCCTGAACTCTTGAAACATTATTGATTAGAAGTCTAGCAATGTTTCCCACTTCCACAGCTGTTTGATCATGGAAGGAAAGAATAAGGCTGCTGTACTTTGAGAAAAAAATAATCTGAACTCTTTCTTTAGAAGATGATTTTAGGCTGTGAATGGGAAATAACAGAAGGGCCTTTCTCCTGCCTGTAATCAGATACAATAAACCCAAGAAAGGAGCAGCATTTGAGATTTTTCCTCACGCTTTGCATTTTGATTGCTAACTAAAGGGACCTTTTGGATGCTACTTGGAAGGAGCTAACTCTGCTAAATGCCTTTATGGGGAATTTAGAGCCCTACCTCAGGTTCTGAAGTTCAGTCTCAGATCAGCTCCATAACATGTGGTAAGTGTTAGGTACCAGGTGCTTTAATAAAATTGGCCCTAGGTGACTAATGCATGCTACCAGAACTGAAAGATCTCGAATTTTCTGAGCTTGATGCTCCTCACAGCAACCATCCATGAAATTTATGGAAGAGGCTCATCATTCTGTGTAATGGTTATAACCATATCAGCAGTCAGGCCCAGCTCATTGTTCGTGCAAAAGGGAATTCATGTGGTAATATGCAGGCTAACTCCTCTGTGGGTAGAAACCACATACATAAGGATTCATGTTAACATCCAGAACAGAAGGAAGGCCTTTTTAGGCATTATAAATATCAGCCCTCATCACTGTACGCAAGTCGATAATTAGAGTAATTATTCCAAATTAGCAGCTGCAAACCCTACAGATGGGAATTTCAGGGGCTGGTAACTATTGTAAGAAAGCATTTCTTCAGGCTGCAAAACCTTTCCATATTTTGAAAGATATATATTCAATGACCCTCATTACAGGATGTTAAACATTTTTGTTAATATTGCAAAATAAAAATCTCTCCTGCACTAGTATAATGTTTCTGCTTTTCTTTAAAGGTATGTTGGGTTTGAGATGGCCTGAATTTGGAAAAATTTTTCCAAGTACTTAACCTATCAGCTCAAGTAAATTAAGAACGAGGCTGAACTGGGACTCATGTTTTGCTTCTATTTTCAGTCCATGAGGAAAAAAAATGTCAAGTGCCCTTTTGTTGGCTTTTGAAGACAGCAGAAAGACTACAGCTGTTCTCCAAAACTCTGCATGAAACCTTTTAAGAGAAGACATTGTCAAACTTGCTCACCAGGTTCCAGAAGCATTTTCCCCATGTTCATTGTATTGTGCTCCTTTAAGTGGCTTAAGGGAAAAAACACAACCAATCGAATCAACCACATATTTTAATTGTGAATAATGTTTTTGCAGCCATAAAGGCTTTTACGATAGACAACGAAGTCTGATTAGAAGAGGATTCTTGGTGCCTATGTTTGTACCATGAGTACATCACAAGCACAAATGGAGCAGTCCTTCTTCAGTTTTTAGCTTTGGTCTTTAGCTTTTATGTGAATTCATTTAACTTTTGAATACAGAAAGCAAAAGAAATTTAATCAACAGAAACAGTAAGGCAAATAACTGTAAGATTTGTCCTTATCACAGTGAAGAAGCTAAACTTTTTAGATACATTCGTGTAAAAAAATCAGTCATTCCTATCTTTTAAATTAAGATTTCAACTTCAATCAGCAAATATGCCTGTGTTTACTCATTTAAATCCAGTCCTTATCTATTTATTTGAACATGGAATTTCAGATAAAATAAAGCTGAGGAAGTAATAGTTTTCTGCATTTGAGTAAAAGTTTATTGATCAATGTATTTTTAAACTTTCTATTTAATTATCTTTGAGGTAAAATGAAGGGAAAAGTTTCAAGCCAAAATAATTATTCTATGAAAAAGTTATGAGTTGTTTGAAAAGAAAATGAATAGTAAGACTGAACATGATAATACAGCTTTAGTGCTGAAAATTGAACAGTCTATCTTGTAGTTGTCCTACGTAGATGACAATAAATGCTTTTTCAGCTTTTGGATTTTCTTTTAGCCATAAAGAATATTTAAAAGTGAGCATATGATTCTATGATATCTACTAATAAAATAGCTCTCTAATTCAGACTTTAACAGTTAATTGTATTGCCAGTTGTAGATTAAAAAATGCTTTAGAAAGTATATCTGTTTTTTGTATTTTAGGAGGCTTGCTATGACTACTGCGACTACATGTAAATACCTTTTAGGCCTCGTATAATCTCAAAAAACCTTTCTGCAATATTAATCTCATACATACTAGGTCCTAGAAAAGAAATGAAGATGATGTATCCCATTTACAGGCTGAATTTTTGATGCTTCCTTTCCAATCACCATCCAAAAGCTGAATAATGTGAAAAGTTTGTTTCCTTGCATGAAGTAGCCCATATTTCATTTAGATTCATGCTCTGTCCTACTACACTGTGTAAGAATATGACTCATAATGTTTTTCTCTGATAGTTATCTCTCACTTTTTTCTGATCTGTGCAATCTATTTCATCTTTTCTTATCTGACTTCATCTCTGTTTTTTTTTTCTGTCCTGTCTCTTTAATTTAATGTCTCTATTTTCACTTGTTCACCCCGTTTTAAAACTTCGTTTCCCCCTTAATCCCTTTTTCGGACTCAAAGCACCAGGTCTGCTCATGGGGTAGGTGTGGCTGATTCATTTGTCTTGGAAGGGCAGTAAAGATGACAGGCAGATCATGTTAGTTATTTAAATCCAATCTACAAGACTGCTGAAACCAACTGGAGCATTTGCTTCAGCTCTGCAATGAACTCTGTCCAGAGACTCTAAAGTCTCAAATATGTTTGACTTTTAAAATCTTTATTAGACATCCTGCTTTGCAGAAGCTCCTAAATATATATTTAACTAGAGTTTCAGATTTATAGTATAATAGTAAATAATGCCATTATACTGCTTAATATATATGAATTCATTATGTTGATAAAGGATTTGATGCTGACCAGTGCACTGATGAACTCTGTCACACCCTTCTTTTTAACCATGAGTCCTTATAATGCATTTTAGAGAGTTGCTTATATCCTTTAAGTTAAGTAAATGCTCAAGTGTGTGTCTGGATTAGAACCAAAGACTCAGCACCTTGGAAGATGAAACAAAAAACAAAACCAAAAAAAAACCCAAAACCAAAACCAAACAAAACACAGAAAAACAACCAAACAAAAACTCAACCAACCAAACAAACAAACCAAAAAAAGAAAGTGAAACTGGCAAAGACAGGCTTGTTGAGTTTATCCATAAGTCTTAAAACAAGTCTTATTTAATTTTGGATTGGAAAATCCACTCCTGCTCAATTCTATGGTGGTGTAGAGACATATCCATCGACCAGATGTGGATTATCTGACTACCAATCTTACTCTTGGAAAAACCACCTCAAGTGCACAAAAGCAGCTGCAACCACATATATTGATTAACTGGTTGCATTACTGTTACATTATGGTCTTTATGAACTATTTTGCGGTTTTTAAATAAGAAAGACAAATTACCACTTTTGTTTTTTCCCCACAGAAGTTTGCCCTAAATCACAGTCCTATCCACTTTTGACAAGATCACAGCTTAGTTTAGATTAAATATGACTTTCACCTTCCTGAAAGGCCTCCAATGCACCATATAAGGAGTGCTGGTAATAAACTCTGAAGTGCTCAGCTTTCAATGAGTTTTAGGTCTGAGGCACCTGATGAACTTACTGTTATCAGCTGAGAATATACATGCAGACTTTTAAGAGGTTAAGCTAATCTTCTTCCTGCAATTTAGAGCATGTCTACAAATAGATATTGCAGCTCAGCTTGATTGTTCCTTGGCTTCCAACATATATAAACTGAAATTTTCCAACTCTCAAGTCAGAATTAAATGGCCAAATCATCTAGGGACCTTAAAAATTTCTTTTAAAGTGATCTTTTTCTGAAGAATAAAAAATTAATTACTAGTGTTTTTTAAATGAAAAAGTGAAGGAAGTATTTAAATATATTAAAAGAATAAAACAGATTCCATATATGTGTTTTATGGTCTCTCTTAGGTTCCTCAGGATGAATGGGGAGGATACCCAGCTGGTGGGAAAGATGAAGAGATCCCTTGCAGAAGAATGAGAAGTGGTAGCTATATTAAGGCCATGGGAGATGAAGAAAGTGGAGACTCTGATACTAGCCCCAAGACATCACCAAAATTAACAGTTCGACCAGAGTCATTATTAAAATCCATTGGACAACGACCACTGGGAGATCTTCCAAAGTAAGCTTTGCTATACCATGTTATACACCTTTCCAAAAGCTGTTATGACTTGGGAAATTTTTCTTTGGGTCTTACTGGCAGCATCCATAATAAAAAATTATCTATACTAAAAAGGTAACTTGAGTGGCTTCATTTTAAATTAGCTACAGTGTCTTGTGATTACTGGATGAAAAACTGCCATCTTCCTCCATCCATGAAATAAAACTGTTATGTTTACTGAAGGAAATACATGCATATTTTTGTGAAAAGTTCAAAATTCTGAACTTTTCTTCTCTGGGATTGTTTTATAAGTCTTTTTTATTTCATTGCTTTCTCTGAAACAGAAAATACACTTGATTCTATACTAGATATAAAAGCAAATATATAGTTGTACCATGTATTTGGCATATTACACCTTCTTTACCATTACAATGCTGTATCAGCTATACTGTATCATACTGATTTAAACACATTGTGGAGGACTTTGTTTGACTGGTTTTTTTTTCATGCATACTACCTACAATATGGCCTACTAAATAGCTAAAGCAAATCTTTAAACTATAGGGAAATATGTAGCTTTATATGTTTTCCAATAGGCCTTTATTTTTATCTCCTTTTATCCTTTCAATATATCATTTTATTAGTGAACTGTAAGTATACTTATGAGGAGAGTTTCAAAGTAGTAGCCTGATTTAAAATCTGTATCTTCTATTAATGTAGCTAGGCATTTCTCATTATTTAGAACATTGATCTTTTTGCCTTGGACATAAACTGAAGAAATTAAGAGTGAAACCTTTGACCAAAGGTTGTTTATTGTTCTGTAGGTAATACCATATATAGCATACCATATGTGATACATCTTTTAAAAAAATAAAATGAAAAAAAAATTAAAAAAAGCCTTAAGAAAAAATCCTTTGGAGTTAATTAAATTGAATTATTTAGCTTGCAACGTACAAGAAAACCACCAACTTCCACTGTTACTGAAGAGAAGAGTTTACAACTTTATTGTATCATATAGCTTGGTCAGGCATATCTTAGGCTCAATTCAGGTACAAAACCAAAGGCACCTGTACCATGAGCTGCTGTAAGATTTCTGAGACAACATGAAACAAGATATACAAGTCTCTGCTCTCGATCGGCAATTAAAATACCATATGACCTCTCTAAGGGGACCAGAGACCTATGTTTATGCCACTGAGACAAATTCTGAATATGAATCTGAAGGATTTGTTGGAATGTTACTTCTGATGAGGAAACCTGGCCTATAGCAAAAGTACTGCTGGCCTGAGTACAGAAACCTGACCATGGGCACTGAGAAGATTTTGGAGTGGTCCCTGTCAAATATGACCCCTGGGTCTATTAGCACTGTCCCACCCTGCCTGGTCACTGTTGTAGCCCAGGTATCATTCTCAGGGACAGTTTGGTTGCAGCCATCCCAGTTTTGAAGGGTATGTCTTACCTATTCTAGTACCACAAACTAAAATCTGTTCTCAGAGACTGTTCTAACTGACCAAGTACTTAGACCAAATATATTCTATGCTGTTCTTTGTTTTCAACTTTAGTTGGACCACCCATAAGGGAATCTGGGTGGCAGCACAAATTTTCCAGTGAGTGGCAGGTCTTGGTTCCTGCCCTAGATCACTACAGCTTACAAACAGGTCCAGACAGCAATTAAACATATGTATTCAAGCAAGGAATATATTTCAAGAAAAAAGTATTCCTGATCTGTTAAATCCTGAGGGCAGGTGGTTATTCACAGGTCAATACCAAATGTTGTGTCTTCTGTTAGTTTTCCATGTATTGCAAACACACCACTCAAAATATAATTGATTAAAACCGGGATGCAATGTTGATGCATGTACTGGGGTTGACAGCTGTGCCTGTTCATGGCCCTGAAGGATTTCATGGCATAGTTACCATTAACCACAGTCGGAAAAGGATGAAGCTTTTCGTAATACTGTGAAATATTAGTAGGGGCTCTGTTGAGAATTTGTCACTATCATTGCACTGGAATAATTGAGCAGCCAGTCTGCTGCAGACAGATATCATTTAAGTCCTCAGTTTTTCCTTAAACTGAAGGACAGCACCTTGGATCTGCCAGCCTAACATACATGGGTTTTTCCAGTGAACTTCAAGCAGAAATGTGTCAACTATTCTGGTTCTTGTATGCCTTCGTTGCAAAACTCTGCAAATTTCAGCAATCCTAAAGCAGACAGAAAATTTCTTGTCTCACAGAAATACAAAGTGCTGATCCTAACCCTGGGTTTTCACCACAACCCATCTCCTCCCAGTATATCTCTGTCTCCCTGTCGCTGTGGTTACCTTCTATGTCTGGCAGATTTCTATGAAGGATGTAGCAATGGATAATGGTTACGGAGCCTTCCTTGCCCCTTCAGTGTGGCTCAGTAATCCCCATTGCATGCTGAGTACCACTGATCACACTACTGAGCCAGAAGCCACGGCTTTCAACAGCATTCCTGCATGTATAGCAGAGCTGAATAGCATTTCTGGCATGTGTTATGAGAAATTACATAATTCAAGATGTCAGCTGCATTATCTGGCTTTTTAGCTTGTTTACCCAGATGGAGGGAGCTAGTGCACAGAAATAAAATGGGGTTTTAATTCTCTTAGCCCTCCGCTTGGGTGACAGAGTAGCTCAGAACTGGGATATGCCAGACCATCAGTAAACCTGTAATAAAAGCTGAATATTGATAGTTTTGGCGATATAAAAACATGCATTGGCTGCAAAACAAATGTAGATAGATTTCCTATGAATGAACCTAGTTTTCTATCACTGTCCTGAATAGGAAAAAACAAAAATTAGAACAGCCTTCACTTAACCTTCAACAGATGTTTGACATGTGTGCGTGTTTCTCCTTTGAGTTTTATGAGGCATCTTTGTAAGACTTTTTTTCCCATTTAAATGCTCTTTCTGCTTAGACAAAAGTAAGTGCTACTTTGTTGGTTTGTGTTGCTCAAAGATTCAGCAAATTGAATATTAAACATTTATACAATAAAAATACATATTTGAATCTGAATAAATAACATACAAATAGATACATGTAACTGATATAATACAAGTATTAAAATTCTGAAATAGTTTCTTTTAAGTTGCTTTTGGAAAGGAGTATATTTTACTACAAGTAAAAAAAAAAAAAAAAAAGTGCAGAGTCTACCACTGCTGGTTTTATACAGCTGAAAGAAGCAGGTCATACATCCAACTGCTGCCATCTGATCACCACCTCTGTCAAACTAGGCTAGCACAGTCAACAGGATCCCCAGCCTGCTTCCAGCCTAGGACACATGACTCATCTCTGGATAGTGCACAGGCATGTTTCAGAGAATAACTCTATGTGATGCAGCCACCCTCTCTGTAGGATAAGAAAGCTTAACCATACAGGTCAGTTGGCCAAAGGCTCAGATAATGGACATGGCTTATTTCTGAGTATAGATATAGCATAAGGGGCTCCATTTTTTCCGGATTTTTCAAAAATTAAATGTGCCTAAATATGTAGATTATTCACTAGAGATAAATGCATTTCAATTCTCTTTTTTATAAATGCTATTTCAAAAAACTAAACAGTATGTTGCATTACTTAGTCCTTTAACATCAAGCTGAAGACCAGTGTAATTTATTGGTATTATTATGAAATTGCATTTCAGTGAAATATAATGCAATAAGGCTTGGTGGTGGAGACAGGACACATACCTGAATCTGCTTCCTTTCTACTTTTTACTTCCTTAGAATGGTGCCAGCAGTCCTATTTAATTGGAAATTATCTTGGCTCCCACTAGTCCAGGAGAAATAATTTTGTTTGGTTGCGGGTTTTGGGGTTTTGTTTGTTTGTTTGGTTTGGGTTTTTGTTTGTTTGTTTTGGGGGTTGTTTTTGCACTATGATTGGAAAGATACAAAATCTTTCTAATGTCAGTTTTGGTATACTGTGAACAAATAGTATACTTGGTCTTCTAGAGGTGAAATGCTAGCCCCTTGTATTCAGTCCATTGTTTTCTGCTGTTCAGTGCTGTGTGCTTTCTAGTGGGGATGAAGTTAAACTATGTTGGAAGGCAGTTTGCACAGGTAGCTTGTAGAAGGTGGGTCTCATGCTGCTAGGTATTTTCATTTACAGTAAAGGTCAAAACAACTGAACAGTTTATGGAACTGATAGCTGAAACAAAGGTAATGTATGTCCTAAGTAAGTTTTGTGCAATCCCGGAAGAGAGACTGACCCACATGATTTGTTAGAGTATCCTTCTAATGTAGTAAATGTCTTTTTTACCTGTATTTATGACTAAACCAAGCAAAGCTGAGATGGAAGCCTCAGAGACACTGGGATCCAGAAAGCAAAGCTGAAAAGAAACCAAGAATTTGGGTCTCTGCAATAGGAAAATAATCCAATGACTAAAGATAATATTCTGGTTATTTGATGCTTCTCATTTTCAGGCGAAGAGTACTTAATATACCGATTATGTAAATGAACAGGATAACGCTGTAGAAATAGCAAATTCCATTTTCAGTATGTCCTTTTTGAAGTGTTGCGAAAGGCTCTGAAAACCATCTAACCATTTAGTCAAAAGGGATAACAATAGCATTTAGCCCAAAGTAAATACACTCTATTTGAAGATGATACTGGTATCACTCACACAAATGAATAGCTGTGCCGTGCTGAAGTTTTCCATTATGCTCTGAAGTGACTCACAGGAAACTAGATGCTGCAAACATGAAAATGAAACAAATTAGGCTACAATAAATTCAGTGACAGCAACGTGTACTTCATTTTGCAAACCTCTAATGGCAGACTCTTCTGTGTCAGCTGGTAGTCCAGACACCTTAAGCTGATGGGTGGGTAGACAGAAGAATATGTGAGCAGATAGGTAATATAAAAATTTAGTGTTTCAATGAGGCAGGAAATCTTCCACAGCACAAATTATTTGGGGAACTACCGCAGTACAGTACCACTGATATTTTGGTTTGTCTTGACTGTGTTCTCCACTTAACCCTCTGCTAGGTTTTGGCCCCTGTA